GTAAAATAAAAAAGCTCAGAATTTTTAATGATTTAATCTAAAATCACTTTGCTAAAAAAATGCCTAGTTAGTTCAGAAATTAATTATTTGTGGCTGAAAACAACTTGCTTCTGATTGGTCGGGCTAATCATGACGTCACATGTAGGTATATAACTGTCTGTATATTTGGCGCAGTTGAGACATACATTTTCTATGTATTTTCCTATGGTAAATCGGAGTGATTGGTCGTGTTTTCAGTGTCTCTTTATTTTGCGCTGGTATTGCGTGGCTAAGAAGTTTTATCATGAATGGCATATACTAAAATGTTCCTTTAATAATGGAGCTTCAATATCTGTGAGTTTTATTGGCAAGCGAAAACTGATTTCGCTGTTATTTTATCTGGAAATTACTCATTTTTTTAGGTCAATATTCAAAATATTTTACGGGAACAAGTTGGCACTTTTCTTGATTTTTGCACTCAAATCGCGTGCGATTCAACTGTATTGGAACTTGCAAAGAAGCTTGGTGATTAATTAACTGTGTTGTTATGGCACTGTTTGCAAAGCATGGATAATGAAACTGTGCCAAAGACTTAGCTACATAGCAATGCCTCAAGTAATACGCAGGAGGGACAGAATTCAGAGTCCGATCGAGAAGAATCGGTGCAAATGCTACGAAGACCAGGCAGCTCTGATACAATAGCTAGTCGTCTCACTACTCTCACTCCATTAGACCAGCTGATTCCTGACAGCACCGACTCGGATGCAAAGATGGAGCTCATCTTCCAAGCCAGAAACCAGTTCTTTGATGGAAGATGTGATGCTGCCTCTGTCTCTGCTTTGTTGGTCACTTTGGACGGGGCGGAGCTCCGCTCCTTGCTTAAGCGGTTATTCGCCTGTCATCCAGAAATAGTTCCTTCGTTTGCTGGCCGTTTCCTGATTAGGTGCAATACGGGGAGCTGTAATCAGGGCAGTAACTTTCCATATGAAAGGGGTGCAGGTGCACCTCCGTCCCCCATCCACTAGAAGTGCACCCCCATAGGCTAAGCGGCGCCCCACACGCCGCCCCACACGATTAGCTCTAGAGCAGATGGCGAGGGTGATTTCCCGGCTACATTCCATCTCGGCGTCGTGATGCTTGTGGGCTTGGAAAGCGTCCAGTCGTATGTAGGGTAGTGTAGGGGTAGGGTTGAGTTCAATAAGGTCCTTACATTTGAAAGGTTTGAACAACCCGCAATCAGCACAACATACCACAAGTTAAAAAACTACCAAACTCCGCCCAACTAATATTAATAAACATTACAGCCAAACTAATGGCCTAAATAAAAATATATCTCAAATCCTAACAGTTATCGTGGGTGATGGCGCCATGAGTTGCTATTATCCAAAACAGATGCAAATAAACATGTTTGTATGTCCTATGTATGTTTGTTTTAAAAACGTTGCAGCGGCGCTGGGAACTGCAGTCTTAGATCTGGGTATGTTTGGCATCTGCAACTCTTCATATACACATTAACTCTATTTCGGACGGGGAGGCCTTTCAGGATTTTCTTGTACAATTGCCAAACGCCGCGAGACATTCAGCTCATATTTGGTGACTTTTCCTAAATGCTCATTGCGCACATCTCATCAAAAAAAAAAAAAAAAAAAAAAATGCCGGGTCAGGTCAGGTCAGGTAACCAGAGCGGGTTTGTTGACCCCACCTCAGAAAAGTTTGCAAACACGTCAGAGCTTAAGTTTTTCACGAAGTTATTTCCTCTCATCAAGTCTTCAAAACAGTACCTGCAGTATGTGTCGTTTGTATATCTCAGAATTTTTTATCTGTGACCTGAGGTTAGGTCAGAGTCGTGACCTTTACATTGCAAGCCTATGGAAAAGTATTGAAATGCGACCTGCACCTCGAGTAAACGAGTCAAAACCACCCAATTCTTTAAGAATTATGACAAATTATCTTATCTGTAATGATCCAGGTGCCATTTACTGACAGGATCACCGGGGAGGGTTATCTGAGCCGAGATCATGTGAGGTGATATCTACCATACATCAATGCTCACAATACTTACAATATTGACAATGCTTTTGCTTACAACACTTACAATACTTACGGTGAGACCAGCAAGCACTCTGCCGTTACAGTTCTAACTTCTGTTTCGAAAACCGACGTTACACACATTCGCTGCCAGCATAACATGTATTGTTTGACAGTAACAAAAAACAATTGACATCTGAACCCCAAACGGACCGCCATCCACTCAAATTTTATAACCCTGACCAGTCAGGGGGCGAATGGAGGTCATATCCTGGGTATTACACTCAGCCCTTGCACAAAATATCTCACCTCACAGTGATCATTACAACAATAGCACCGACTTGATAGTGGATTTCAAAGTACTTGCATCAGCTCTTCCTGCTATTGCAGACGATCATCTCCTCAGGGTAATGTTGTTCGGGACATGAACGAAGATCGTTTTCGGAGTTTCATAAGTGCTACTGCAACAGCCTGGCACAAAACAGGACTTGTACGCTCTTCTCTGCACTTTGCCCTTCAGTATATCACAAAAGAATTGTTTAGAATCCATCTTACGCTTCTTTCACAGTCTCCCTTGCCACCGTAGGGCGTAGATAGATTGCTGTTGCTGGTAAGTTAAGGCACGGTAGATAGAAATTACCTCGGTTCTCAACGCCTTAAGTTATTTTCATAAAAAAGAACAAATAAATGATCAATGAGATGACAGGAATGTAAACATTTTAATCGTAAAGTAGTCCAAATATTGGAATGAGCTTTTGCTTTTCAGCATCCTCCGATTCATCATCTTTATCATTTGAAAATTCGAGGTACATAAAATGTTTATCACGCGCTCAATGTTAAGTGGGAATATAGTACACGGCAGACACATCAATTTTTGACACTGAACATTTCATCCGTAAATGTTTTCGCATAATTTAAAGTGAAAAACAGCGCGAATGGCAGAGTGAAACAAACAACATCTTTCACCCATTGATATAACATGTAATCTGTGGTGCGCCAGATGCGCCATTATTTGTCAACCGCAGAAGGTGACATGTGACATAGAGTTCAGTGCATGTGACGTAACAGCATCAAGAGCATCTTTTTTCAAGAACTTTTCAAAACAAGTTTCCTATCTTTCTTCCCCCATTTCTCTCAGCATATTGATTTTATGGGGCAATGGTATGCACCATAAATTCTGTGAAAATAGTTTGATCATTTTAATGCATTCTTAAAAAATCGAGTTCCCAACCCCATTCAAAGTTTGTCCAGTTTCATACTGACCACCCGTTATGTATGTAAAAGATGACATAGCTATGTCAGCTCAACTTGAAACAAAGTGAAACTTCCAATGGGTAAATCTTGATGGCTCACCCTGTAAATATCACCGTTCCATGCTTCTATCCTCAGGATACTGAAATCCTTCTCCTCCACGCCGCAACCCCTCTCCGGGCTGGACAGGCAACTTTATCTCATGCGGGCTGCTCCCTTGGAGCGGCACCGCTGCTCCCGAGGGAGCGCACCCCGTAGCCGGGTGCAGTGAGTGCCTTGGGGCTGGGTGGCCTGTCCTATGGACGGGCTCAGCCCCGACGACTCACTAGGGTGCCTGCCCAGACCAATGTCTCCCCCTATATCCTACCATCCTCCCGGCTCTGAAATGGTCCCAATGGACCGAAAGGGCCTAACCCAACAAAACAAACAAACAAACTGTAAATATATGTTGGCGAAATTGGATACGTGCCAGTAGGACGCCTCTTGGGGCAATAAACGAGCGAGCGCGACCGTGAATCCTGAACATGCGCTAGTGCGAGGGAGTACCTATACCTAATTCCAGCTAACTTGTACAGTGTACACGGCACTCTACTTACCGGTCTCTTGCGCGGTGTGCCACATTTGAGCACATGATTGGTCCAGCCGTTCTTGAGATGTGAAAGTAGCAACCCTGCGCGTGTGTACATTCAAACTGGGTCAAACCTGAATTTCGCACAGCACCCTACTCGTCGTTCCCTATCCGCTAGGTACCAAAATTGAGCAGCGCATGGTCGGCCCAGCCGTTATCGATATCTGGAAACGACCCCTGAACGTGCGCACGTGCGGTAGTACCCCGACCGTGACATATGAATATGCATTACCCGGTGGGTGCCTACGTGCGTGACAAGTTTTAACGCAATAGCCCCAGTAATTGCCAAGTTATGTAATGGGAACAAACTTGACACCTCCTCTTTTTGCATTTTGCTCGTGCTGCGGTGGTCACTCACGTGCGTGAAGAGTATCAGATGTCTGATAGAAGGGATGCAGCAGCTACACTACAAAAATTACGGATGTAAATCGTCCTAGCGGTTGCTGAGATATGACCTCTCAAACATCTGGCCTCATTACCTCTGCAAAACGCTTGAACGTCCCTGACTTTTCACGTGGCACGTGCCACGACGGTCACCTATGTAGATGGACCAAGATTTACAGGATAGAAGGGGAAGAAGTGATGAGGCTACTTAACAACAAAAAAGAGAAGAAAAAAACGCAGTGTAATCGGCCTGGCAGTTGCTGAGATATAAGCCTTTCAAAAATACTCCATTCCAGGCCGGGTCGGGCCGAGCCGCTCATACTAAGATTTTTGTTATGTTTTAAAGGATCACTTCGCGCTTCGCGCTCGCTCGTAATCACAAAAAAATGAATAGCCCTTTTCATCCTTTTTAGGTTTTACCCTTTGATGTTTTCCTACACGCCCTGTATAACCGTCACAACTACAAGCTAACAGCAGTTGCCATGTCTGAAAACTATTCCCATCCTTCTTTTTCGTCCTTCCAGCTTCCTGTAGGTTTTCCGCACTGATATCGATATCAGATATGTGTGGCTACAAAGGATTAATCATTTGGCAGGCAGTTAAAGAACTATGGAGTATGAGCATGTCTTTAAGATGATTAAACAACATTTTTTTCTGAACTTATAGGAAGTAGGTAAGCATCTGTTATATTAGAAGCCCTATACGTGTTTCTAACTAATGCATGTTTCAGATCCTTATCTCTTGAAGAAGCGATCAAACAACTGAGTGAGGAGAACACAAAACGGAGTCAGACGACACAAAATGGCCGCCAAACATAGTAAGTTTGCCAGGGCCGACGGTAAGGCGGACGGCCTGGTCTCCACTCCCGTCTCCGGAGACGCCGCGACACCGCAGGCGGGCCAGGTGCCGAGCTCGGACGATACTCCGCCGCCTAACCAGGTCGAAACTTACGGAACACGTAGAGTAACGACTCAGACAATTGATAACAAAGCAAGTAGGCTTAATTACGGCGCTACTGAAGAGCGCCCTGTCCCCGCCTCCACCGCGGAGCACAAGGCCAGCTCCGACTGCGGCCAGCCTGCCACCGGGGCCCTGCCGCCGCTCTCCTGGGCCCAGCGGCGGCTGCTTATCTGTCTGTCGTTTGGCGCCGTGCTTGACGGCTTCTGCCAGTCCGTCCAGCTACCCTTCTTCCCCGGCGAGGCCCGGCGGCATGGCCTCAGTCTGACCGCCGCCGGAGCAGTGTTCAGCGCCTTCGCCTTGAGCGAAATGCTCGCCTACCCAGTCATGGGCTGGTTGGCGTTACGGCTCGGCGTCCAACGTCTCTACCTAGCCGGCCTGGTGGTTGCCGGCATCGCAACGCTGACCTTCGGTCTTCTAACGTACGTCCCTGGACCGGCAGCGTTTCTGGCCGGCTGTCTGACCGTGCGCGCTGCCGAAGCGGTGGGCACGGCAGCCGTCCTGACGGCAGCCAGAACCATCGTCATCAACCAGTTCCCAGATCGGGTGAACGTGGCCATCGGAGTCCTGGAGGTGGTAAAGGCGGTGGGTCTTTGCGTCGGGCCCGCTCTCGGGGGAGGCCTGTACGTGCTTGGAGGATACGGTCTGCCGTTCTACACTCTAGGAGGAATGCTGCTCGCCACTGCGGCGATCAATGTTGTGGCGATGCCTGCGATAGCCAGCACTGAGAGTGGCAAGACCGAGGCGCATCAAAGAGAAGCTGAGCAGCGGACGGATCAACAGAGCTACATGAAGATGTTGACAATAGTATTCTCCTGTCCAGACAACTGGGTCATCTTCACAACACTGTTCATCGTCTCTATGAACTGGTGGGCGCTGGACCCCAGTCTTGGACCGTACGCTCAGCAGCAGCTGAACGTCGAGTCCTCAGAACTGGGCCTCTTCTATGTGGCTTCGCTGCTGTCATTTGCTGTTGCAAGTCCAGTATGGAGCCGGCTGGCCGACTCCATGCGCAACACGTTCCTCCTGGTGGCTGCCTGTCTGCCGCTTACCGCGCTCGGGGTGCTGTTGATGCCGCCGGCGCCTCCTCTAGATCTGCCGCCATCCCGCGCGCTGCTCGGCGTTGGCATGGCGCTTCGTGAGGCGTTCTGTCTGGGTGCACGCCTGCCACTGCTGGCTCTTCTGCTGCGCTGCTCGGTGGCCGCCGGCCTGCAAGACAACCTGCGTGGTCATGCCTTGGTATCGTCGGCGTTCGGAGCCGTTTACAATATGGGCAAGGCGGCCTGGCCGCCGCTGGGGGCTGCAGTTATACAGGAGGTGGGACTGCCGCTACTGGCCTCCGGTATGGCCGCCCTAACATTGACCCTGGCCATTGTGGATGCCGCCTGGGGACTGAAGGTTAACAGCAAACTGAAGCAAGAGAAGTAACGCCAGGCAACTTTGCCTTAACCGATTTCGACAGCTGTTGCACTTTTCCAAAGAGTATAAGTGGACACATAAATGTGCAATGTGCATTTTACAATTGTATAACTACTAGGACATCTGCTCGTTGACGTTATTGTTGTGCATGGAAAGTTCTTACTTTTCAGCCTGATATACGTTGTTGAGTAACCATGCAGCATAATATGTGCTCACATTTCGGTGCATTGGCGCATTTCCGTCATACAGGGTGACCTATAAGACAGGTCTGTTTTTGTTTACATACTTGTTGGTGTGGGCTGTGCTACCACCTCGCATCTTCCGGCATTGTTCTGCTATGTTCGGTTCGTCAAGTGTCGCCAGGCTCCGCGGATCTCTCACCAATGTAATATCAGGACCCGTCGTTAGGCACGGTTTTATTATTCATAATACATGGACCATGCAAGCCTTCACTGTATCCAACGGTGTCACGATAGAAAGTCTTTTGTAATCAAAGTTTTACGCTATTAACTTTATTGTGTCTCCTTAAGTGCTTAGAACACGGCTGGCTTATATGGAAAAGCTTAGATCGGGGTGCATAGATTCTGAAAGCAGATCTCTCCCTCCTTGCAGTCCCTAAGTGAGACACAATCTGCGCAGACGCGGGATGGGGAGCAGATTTGGCTGCGACACTGGCTGTTTTCGGTACACCAGTCCAGTTTCTCTCCGAACGGGTAGCATTCGCCCTCCCCCCTGGCGCAGAAGTGACCGCCGCGACACTCCCGGTCCACCCGACACGAGACACAGGTTCCTAGCGGGCCGCACCGGCCGCTACGACAGTTGGAGTCGTCGCTGCAGTAGCCGCCGAGGACCTCGGACGGCACGCAGTGACCGACGCGGCACGAGCGGCCCTGCCGGCAGTCGGCTGTCCTCTGGCACTCGACACACACCTTCTGAGTGCCGCAGAGTGCCGAGCTGCACTCAGAGCCGTCACGGCAGCTCTGGAACAGCGACCGCTTGGTGTGACAGCTGCCTTCCGAGCAGAATTGGTCTGCCCTGCAATCCGTGTGGTTCCTGCACTCGGCACAGCTGTTCCGCAGGCAGACACGAGACCGGCAGTTCTTGTCCACATGACATCGCTCTCCGAGTTCACCGGGCGGCCGGCACTGGCCGCTCAGACAGTACTCGTGCTCGGCGCAGGGCTGGTAGAGCGAGCACACGGCGCACCGCCCGTACAGACAATTCCTGGAGAGGCAGCTGCCGTCAGTGAAGCAGCGCTGCCCGGCGCTCAGGAGGGCCACACAGCGGCCCCCGGAGCACCGCCGGCCGCGGCCGCACTGCGGGTCGGAGGAGCAGGCCACGCACCGACCCCGCAGGCAGGCGCCGTGGGGACACGGCCTGTGGCGGCTGCACTGCGACGGGCTGACTGCTGGGCCGCTGACCACTGACGGGCTGACAGCAGGGCCGCTAACCACTGATGGACTGACCGCAGGACCGCTGCACGATGCACCCTGCCGCAGGGTAAGCAGGGATTAGTCGCGAGTAGCATGTATGGTATACAGTTCCGGCATACGTCGCTTCAATCAACAATCCATATAGCAAAGACACAAATCGTACACAAATTGACAAACCTTAATCAATCTTAGCTGTGATTCTTGAAGAATCAGAATAGCTTCCGAAACTACTCGGCATTGCTTTTGAAATATTGTTAACGGCATAGCAAATCGACTAAAAAGTAACACGCTGAAATTTCCACTTTCGGTTTCCGCCTTCAAGATCTTAACCCGCGCCGGGCCGGTGCTCTGAAATTCCGCGCCGGGCCGCGGGGGGGTGTTTGAACACCCCCCCCCCTTCTAACTCGGCTCCTGGGCCACGTAGCGACATGCGGTAAGCGGCAATCGAAAGAACGTCAAAAATATGGACGAAAACACTTCGGTCATTTTTTGGGTCAGGTCAAAGGTCAGGTCACCAGAGGTCACCAAAGGTAAAATGTTGACTATTTCAACATTTTGCAAACTGCCAACGGCTATCTCGGGAACCGATAGAGCTACAGCGCCGCAAAAAAGCGCATTCGATAGCCCTTTTACAGACCTTTCTGAGTAATGTTCTCAGATTTGACCTCAGGTCAACGGTTTAGCCTCCAGAGGGCAAAAACTCCAAAAATAGCAGTTTTTACGAAAAACGTTTTGTCGGCAATAACTTTTGACTCAAAAGAGCTATGACATTACTTTTGCCAGCATCGTGTTCCTCTCGTCGAGACGCGTCGAATGAACTATAATTTGACCTTGAAAGGTCAACTTGAAAATTTGACCTCAGGTCAAGGTCATGACCCGACCGGAAAAGGTCATGTTGCATATCAGTCGATCCGCAACGTCGAGCCGAACACATCTAAGGCGTTTTCAGCGCTCTAGCACGCCTCTATCAGAAGTTATTATCGAAAAACTGTTAGATTCTGTTCGTGACCTGAGATGACCTCGGGGACATAACGAGGGGTCACAGTTGCCATTTTCTGGTTCAGTGTGTCTATTTTACCTACATCTCGATGTTTGAGAGTGTCTAGAATAGCGTTCGTGCAAAACAGGCGTTTTTCAACTTTCTCCCATTGACTTATAATGGAGAGGCCGCAAAATTGACCTGACCTTAGTTCACCGATATCAAAATTCCGAGATATACATTTTATAGATAGTGTTGCTCTAATCAATCGCTGAAAGTTTCAAGGCAATCGTTCAGTCGGTGTAGCTATGACGAGCATTCTTATTTTTTCTGAGGTGAGGTCACTTGGCGTGACCTGGTGACCTGACCTAAGGTGACCTGGGTCTGAAATTTTCACAACATGTGCGTAAAAGATGCACGAACAGGTGTGCCAAAAACGGCGGCGCTCCGCGCCGCCGTTTTTGAGATATCTGCGAAAAACCGCAAGGGGGGGGGGGTGTTCAAACACCCCCCCGGCCCGGCGCGGGTTAAGGAAAATATGCACAGTATTTAGATCTTGCAACCAACATCTGTCTTTGAAGCTTCCCAATTTGGATTTGAGGCGTTTTCGCTTGGCATGCCGTGGCGGACGTTTTCCCTCAGCTCTGGCTGAGCCGGCGTGAACTCGGTCGGCTGATGGCACGGAGCCATCGTTAGCGCAGTTTCAGTACCTGCTGTATATGCACGTGCGCTCCCTACCTTGCAGATCGGCGGCGACAGGAGCTGTATGACCGGCCGAATCACCAGCGGGCCGGAAGCCGACGGCAGGCGCTGCTTAGAGCCAAATAAGCCCCTAAAGAAGCTTTGGAGACTCCTGCCTTGGCGGCTCGCCCTTCCCGCCCCCGTCCTTTCGGCACCGTCCAACGCACCATCAGCGACGGCGACCATGGCCTGCGTGGAACAGAACAATGTTTCAACTATGTGCCAGCTTGGATAGCGTGAGTTGTGGCTTCCACTACTTATTTGCCACTTCGACTCATCACTTAGCCTGTCCCGTATAACTAAGCTCAAGCCGCGCTGCGCTGACCCCGGTGAGTTAATTTCGATCGCGTGTTATCCGGTACATCATCTCCTGTTGCCAGTGACAGCCCAGTGTGGTAAACGAGAGAAGCTGATTAAGGAGTTGGATGGGTAATGAATGGGTATTCAGGTCCAATAATAAAAAAGCAAATTGTTTGGATACTTGGTGGTCGGGTTCTAATTTAGTTTTGTCCCGATTTGTCCTTAGCGATGTATTTTCTCGCGCCACGCAAAACCAAATTATAAATAATGTATTAATTTATCATCATGTGGCTTTATGGCGAACACTAGGTTCTTCGAGGAATTCATGATAACGGTTGAAACGAATTGCTTGTTCATGACATAAAGGGAATTGTTGCTCAGTCTTGTGGTAGAGAATACGACTACAATGCATTTATAATATCGAGCAGTTAAATGAAACTGAGTGAAATAATCTGCCTTTCGTTGGTTTTTCGTCCACTGAGTCTGGAAGTTCCTTCGCCACTCACCAGGGTGCAGAGGAGTAACCGCAGCCTCATTTCTACTCTCCCTGTCGTCGTTATTTGTTGGTCGCCATCCGTCACGGTGCTCCTTCTACCCAGCTTGTAACGTGCACTGTCCCACCTCTGGCCGGCTGATTCTCGCTGACACGTGACAGCTGTCCTGTCGTCCCGATCTGTCTACGCGCGACTTATTTCGTGGGACGGTTGCGGGTCGACAGCAGTGGTTATCGTTTACTGGGTACCTGATGATACCAGCCGCCCATGCAGTGTCTCTGTCCACTGCCTGGTGATGCCTGCTCCTCACCACTGTGAACAGCCGTGTGCCTGCAGGGCCCTCTTTTCACAAACTGCGGAAGCGCGGCTTCATCCAGTGCTCTTTAAAGCCTAAGCCTTTCGAGATTTTCTGCATTGGTGATGCATTATGAATAATTTCCGGTCTTGCAGCCTCAGACGGTTGTATGTTTTCGCCTTCAGCTCAGCTTGTTGAGCCACCGGTGTAGGTTAAGATGCCTTGACTGTCAACAACCATACGAGTATACGTGAGTGCGATCGGAGGAGGAAAATGGCAATGGTAAAGCGAAGGCTTGTTACTGAAAACTATTCGATGTACTTCTAGGTACCTAAGTCTGAAATCGTATGTGAGGCTTGTAATGATAATAATCCGCATAAATATTAAAGTGTGTGACAGGTCAAAGACCAGCTAGTTGTCAAGGATTTATCCTCGACTAAATCCATCTCGGCCATAGCAACACATCGCTCTCAAGAGCTCAGTTTTTTTTTGCGCTAGATCTAATTTCTTTGCATGAGAGGACATTCAATACACAGGGGTATCAAACTGCAATATTGGATTTCGAAACTTTGAGAACATTTAAGTTTTTACAGATATAAAATCTAAACATATATGTTTTTAAACAAACTGCAATATTGGATTTCGAAACTTTGAGAACATTTAAGTTTTTACAGATATAAAATCTAAACATATATGTTTTTAAACCTTTCCCTGAAAGTTTTTTGGCTTTTTGAAAAAAAAACGGGATACATGTGATAGAACACAAGCCGATGATCTACTCATAGTAGCTTTTAGCCCGATATCTTCAAAAATAGCTAAGTTATACGCTTTATAGTCAATATTTCACCATTACCAATTTTTCAAATAAATTTGTAGTACGTTTTCGAAATAGTACATCAAAATAAATAGCCTCATCGTGTTCCTGAGCTCAAACTGCGTCTGGTGAACACATTTTTTTTGTTGAGAAATTTCTACTTCAAAATTCGACGTTTTTTTACCTGTAAAAGACCTCTCAGCTGAATTCAGCTAAAACTGGCCTCGTATGACTCATACGACACTGTTTTCAAAATCTATGACTGAAATGGACCATAAAACATGTGTCACGTGACCGTTGCATAATATAAAATTTCCGGGACCTGGCCTGGGATGACCTGGCCTTGACCTGACAAATTTGAAATACAAGTTCGGTGCTCTCAGGTATTCCTTAGCATATAGTAACG